TTATGGTGTCTGAGATCCAGGCGCTCAACAAGACGGACGGACGGACAGACAGACATGGCTCAATCGACTCGGCTATTGATGCTGACCAAGAATGTATATACTTTATGTGGTCGGAAACGTTTCCTTCTGTGTGTTACATTCATTAACTTTGTGCCCAAATACAATATACCCTATTTACTCTTCGAGTACCGGGTATAAAAAAAATATATTTAATTGACTGATTGTTTGGTTACAAGTAATTTGATTGGAATCGCTCCAACGTGCGATTGCATTTCGCTCAGTACTTGTTTGCCTAAGCAATAAATTGGATAATTTTCGTTTAAATTATAATACCTTCATCTTTAGTTAGACAGTTTTTGTCACAATTTTCTACAGTAGTTCTACAGTTGCTCCAGACCTCTAGCAGTGCTGCATGAGTAAACTCATTAGCATCTGCAAAATCTAAAATTTTCCGAAAAGGGGCAAACGCGCAAAAAGCATTAACACCACGTGATTCTATAATAAATGGTTAGTAACATGCAATTGTTAGTACCAAGTACACGAACAAAACATTGAACAATTAAAAAACTACACACAACTATCAAAAAAGTTGAATTACCGCGACTTATTATTTCCACATTTTTTTTATTTTTTTATTTAAACTTTGAAAACGAGCTACAATTAAAGCTGAAAGTTTCTTAATGTCTCCCCATTTTTTCACAAGCTTTTTCAAAGCGCGTAATATGCTTTCAAAGTCGGCTGACTTTAAAATGCTTTGACTTGTGAAAAAGTGCGGGAAAAATTGAGCAACTTGCAGCTGTAATTGAAGCACGATTACAAAGTCTTTACACAAGTAAAAATATGGAAATAACACGTCGAGGTATTTAAATTAATTGTTAATACATGTTTTTGTATAGTTTTGTGTAGTTATTTAATTGTCCAATATTTTGTTCGTGTGTCTTTTTAGCTTGGTACTAACAATTGCACGTGTTTTCTGTGGAACATTTCTTTTGCACAGAACACCACTGCACAGAGGTTCAAGTTACATGTTATTAATGCTTTTTGCTCGTTTTTGTCCCTTTACGAAAAATTTCAAATTTTGCAGATGCTTATGAGTTCACTCATGCATCGCTGCTGGAGGTCTGGACCAACAACAATCGTGAAGTAAACGCAATAAAATGTTATAGTTTAAAAAGAATTGACAAAACTGAGTAACTAAAGATGAAACTATTACAATTAAAACGAGAAGGGACATGTGAGACGCTTCTTACGCGTCACAACTTTTATACCCGGCACTCAGGACTACATCTAGATGTAGAAGACATCGCCAACCACTAGATATCGTTCACATTACAGAACACGTAGTAAAAAGCCTACTTAATAAAATGCATCAAACAAATTGGATCAGTTAATATTTTCCAATTTATGAGATATTTAAAACAGTAATAAAATTGGTACATTCTTGGACCGATAGGTTTCACAGCAAATTTTTCGAAAGTGGATCTATGAAAATTTCTTGTACGCAACTTTGCGTAACTCTTTTTCTAATACTGGGCGTTAAAAACCGAGTCTTGGTTAAAAGTCGGTAGAGGCATGGGCAGAGGGACGGCAGAGGCAGGGGCCGAGTGAAGCAGAAGCAGAGTGTGAATGAGAGAATGTGAAAGGAAAAACAAAGGCTGCTGGCCAGGGTGGGTTTAGCCATTGAAAATTAATTTCTTCATTCTGGCTATAATAATGATCCGATCGGATCCCAATTTGGTGATCTGATAGATATGGCCATTTGGTTTGGTTAATGCCAAACAGGCTACACGGACTAATTGCATGCTTGGGTCTTGCTTAGGTCGGCACGAGTGCGGGTATCGAAGCTGCTCCCTAGGATAAATGTGTCAGGGAAACCCGAATTCCGAGGGAATTTTGATTTGGCTTCCTATTTTTTTAACCCCATTTTTCTTACAGTTTTCCAGATGCAGAAATCCAAAAACAGTCCCACTGTTGGTCCAAACGCATATGACAGTAAGTTGTGGATTCATTATATTTCAAATAATGATCGATGCCATAATATGTGAATGCTTTTGATATTGTTTTAGACTCGCCATCTATTCGCCATTTGAACTATTTGGACAACTCAATGGACTCGGATGTTTACTTCAGTCCGCGGCTCACCTCCGAAAACAGATCCGGCAATTCGCCTCGCTTTAACTAATTTGGTCTTAGTTATCTTAGCCTTGAAGTTTGATAGGAACTATCTGCGATCTATCTGCGATTCCCCCCCTCATTTGTATTATTTTTATGTTATTTATATAAGCCTTGTTCCATGTCCGTGCTTTTTGTAAAGCTCAAACTTCAAGGGCAATGGCGAGCCCCCTATATGTTTAAAACAATACTCGTAGTTTGGTGCCACTTTTTTTGCGATTTCCTTTGCGTCTGTATTTTTAGTCTGTAAATAAGTTGAAGTGTAACTTAGCCAAAGTACAATGTATATTTTCTCTTTAAACACTTATCAGATCGTTGAGAAGCATTTATTTGTTAAAAATCCTAAACTAAGAGATTAAATAAAATAGGAAGAGTGAAGTGTGCTCGTCTTTAAAGAAATCAGCATTCAACGGGTTGCCTTTCGGGTAACCTTTCGCTACCCCACCGCTGAGATCTTTAGAACCAAAGGCTGTCGGGCACGTGCAAAGGTACTTCAATTACTCTGCCGCTCTTTCACTTTCTCTTGCTCTCACCATAACCACTGTGTCTCTAAATTGCCATCGGAGTACCCGAGAACAAATTTCTAAGCATTTTCTTTCTGCCATGTATCCCGGTCCTGGCGACTTGAGAAATAGGCGAAGCACTTGACTGCAATTCCGAGTCTCTCTCTCAGAGTCAGAGGTGAATGTGAAACACTTACAGCTTTTGGGAGCGCTCCTTTCCAGCCAGAGGTCTGTTGCGTTCATCCCAAAGCGAAACTCCATCACATCTAAAGTTCTTCATTATTCCCGCCGAGCGAGCAATTATCCCGCAGGCGATTCTGAAGCGAAATATACACATATAATCAAAATATACTCTGTGTACCATCATTATGTATATACCTTTCGCCCGAGTTGCCGTCAATCAGACTTTGGTCGTTTGCACCAAGTTCCAGATCGTCAGCACTGCCTGTTACAACAACGGCCCTTCCAATTATCTTCGCCATCTTCAGCACAGAATCCACGAACCTGATCTTCGCCCGTCTACTCTCATCAGCGCCAAGTCGCCAGCGTGCCGTTCTGAAGGCGATGCTTCTGAGCTGCCTTGACGGGACAGACGCTGATTATAATGGTCGCCAACAGAGGCGCACCCTAGGGAAACATCGCCACTTTCGTTTATGTGGAAGACGTGCAATCCCGGATCCAGGCCAACCACTACGACATCCACCAAAATGCAGGGCGTCTTTGCATTGATGGCAGTAA